CTCTCTCTCTCTCTCTCTCTCTCTCTCTCTCTCTTCTTTTTCTTTTTTTATGTGATCTTTTTCGAAAAAGCGATAAATTATTCTTGGAAACTTTTAATTAATTTATAAGGAAAAAGTTTTCAAGAACACTTACGATTCTTTTTGAATACTAACAAAGTACAAAATTTGCGATTCAATATTTATGTTAATTTACACAACTTTTATCAAATCGCAGACCAAGTGTATACAAGTTACACAGCAAGTAATCATTGCATATTTGCTATCTATGCAAGAATAGTAATTTTGAACTACTTGAAAGTGTATCTTGCCTTTCTTCTACTTAGATAATACACATATATACTCATATATATATATATATATATAATATTTTTTTTCTTTTTATTTATCATACAAATTGCATAAACATTTCGCTAGTAATAAAATTAAATGAAGGTATGTTGCTACATCACATTAAATTTTATATGCATAAATGCATCCAGTTGTTTAATGACATTGAGCCATGTATTATGCTCGTATTTAAATTTAGTATGCGTACACAAGTTAGAAATCGATGCATCTGTAAGTATAGCGAACAGATCTTTCAAGGAACTCGAGGGAAAAGTTATGGAACAATGGAACAATGGACCACTAATATCTAAAATTAAAATAGATGCTTATTTTTTCTACGACTCTGATACACTATTGACACGGCCGTAAAAATTTAATAAAGAAAAAAAAAGTATAGGATTCGTTCCAGATAAGGTGATAGATGAACTAAATGAGCCTAATTCAAAAAGAAAGAGAAAGCAAAAGAAAAAAACATGCAGACAGTACAGATGAATTCTAAATTTTGCAGTGATCACAATTATATCCGAGCTAATCTCTCTTAGTCGTTTCACGTGATTTTTTTCGAAATCTGGATTTTTTATATATTATTTCATAATTTGTGTAGTTTTCTATAATGTAGCCTAGTATTGTGGAGTTTCAAGTTAATTGTATTTACACGGTTCATATCGTAGCAAGCGTATAATATACATTTCACAGACATGAAACAATATTGACAAAACGATTTGCAAGTCTTATAATGTACAATGATTTCAACTGTGATTCTATTTCTTATTGTGCCAAAATTCTTAATATACACATAAACGTGTGTGTGTGTGTGTGTGTGTGTGTGTGCGTGCGTGCGTGCGTGCGTGCGTGCGTGCGTGCGTGCGTGCGTGCGTGCGTGCGTGCGTGCGTGCGTGCATGTGTAATGAATAATATGTATATAAAAATACACATATACACACACATCTATATATGTATTATAAAATTATATCTATACAAAGCGTTGTATAATATTTACAAATCTGTGAGCAAATGATAAATTATTTCTTCACTTAACCATTAAGTATAAAAAAGTATTATATAAAAGTATTATAAAAAAGAAAAGTTTACAGACTATTACTCTTATTGTGCGAGGAAAAGATAGGGAAATATTTTACATAAAGCCAGTGTTTGAAATCTATTAACCATGTGACCTGATGTATTTAACTTATTATTTTACAAGTTAGACTAGTCAGTGTCTAGTATATTATATATCTTAATAGTCATATATGAATGTATCCTCAATGTATTTGTGCCTGCTAGTTGTTAAGTATCTGACATGATACTGGAACGCGAAGAAAAATTATGTAATTAATAATAAAATCATGATAACTATGAATGAGTCATATGCAATATCAAATTTTTATCAATACTAATTTGACGAAAAGCAAAAGCATAAATATGTTGAATAATTAATGAGACTATGCAACTTCCAGGCACCAATACGATCTACTCTGTATATTCTCTGTGATAATTTTGTGTAATTTTTGAGAACGTATTGCGTAAACTGAAATGTATTCGTTTTACAAAATAAAAATACTCTGTGTCAAAATTAATTCTACGTATTAATCATATTCAAAGATTACGTTTCAGCTTTTTCAGAGCATCGTTTGTTAGGAAATATGAGTAAGTAGATTAAACGTACATATTTTGGATATTCTGTACACTACTTGTGGCATATGTCAGGCTTAATAAAAACTTATCTCTTTCATTTAAATATGTATATAAATATTAAACAAGTATAACTTGACATAATTTTCTAAGAAAAGACAAAATTTCTATAAATGCATTAGATATAAATATTTTATGAAATATATTAATGACTTGCAGTAATGAGACCAATTGGATCTAAACCCAGTTTCGCACAAGTTTTCTTCATTCTCAATGGATGAAATTTAAATTCAGTCTTGGGAATTCCGTATTCTTGCAATTTACTCTCATAAGCTGCTAACAAATCATCGTGCGCTTTACATACTTTCGCCAATTCATATTGTAAATCTTGTATTGCAGTATTTTTTCTATTCAGCATATCCTACGAAAAAATATTACATTAATGTTCTATACCTAATTGGCATGATCATAATAAGATTTAATGCCTACCTCTAATTTTTTATTCATACTAACCACCGCTGTAGGATCCAATTGAGCAGTAGCTAACACTTCGCTGATCTGCGCTTCACGTTGCTCCAGTAAATCTGACAACTTCTTTAATTTTTTTTCTAAAAGCACATTCTTTAAACCAGTTTTCTGTTGTAATTCAAATATAGCCGAAACAAATCTAGAATGTAACTCGTCTCTTTCGGATTGACACTAAATAAGAAAAAACAAATTAGAAAAGTACATCGAAAGTATCTCGAAGTTGTTATATGTTAATATATAATTCTAATATATAATATCTCACTTTTTCAAAACGCATTTCGAGTACTTCATTTTCCCATTTAAAATTTTCTAGATCTTTCACTGCTACAGATAATCTCCGTTTTGTATTCTGTAATAATCATAGTTACGTTTCAGTTTTTAACAAAATCGTAACTAAAGATATATTTTAGATACCGACAATTAAACATTGTTTGTCTTTTTCGTAATTTGCAAGTTGACGATTAAGTTCGGCAGTCGTTTCTTGCGATGCTTTCATATCAGCCGAATATTTTTTATTCTCCGCTGTCAATTCACGTACTTGTTTTTTCATACGTTCCTCATTGCTTCTCATTACTTCCATTTGTTCCTGTTAAAACATTTGTTTTATATTAATTTAAAATTCCACGATTTTATTTTATTCGATAATTGTGAGATATAATGGCGGAATTCACCTTCATACTCTTAATTAATGATAAGTTATTCAGAGTGATATCATTGTAATAATTTTTCATTTCATTAAACGAATTTTCGTGATTCTTTATCAGACTCGCGATTTGTGCGTTTTTTCTTTCTTCTACTTCAGTTATCTCCATGCGATGCTTTAATATTAGAGACTCATATTGACTGGTTAGTTTTTGTTCGTATTTTTGCTCCAATTCTATCGCTTCAGACTCGAATTTTTTCATCATATTGTTCATTTCCTCCGAATTTTGCTGTATTTGTAGATATAAAAGTTTGTTTTTTAGGTTACAAGTTAATAAAAATATACATAGCGATTATAGCAAATTATTGTATCTTGTATATCTTACTAGTTTCAGTGCACGGATTTCATTCATGTGTGCGAATTCTTGTTCTTTCTGCGTTTTCTTGAGCTCTGTTTTATCTTTAATGAGTTCATTTTCTTGCGTAACATGGTCGTCTTGTGCAAGTTTAAGAGCAACCAAGTGCTCGGCCTTGGTCTCAGATAAATTAGTTTGATGTTCGTACATTAAATGTTTCACTTTTTGCTTATATAATTTAAGTTCAGCCTCATGTTTCTCTGTCAATTCCTCTTTTTCACGTTCTTTATTTCTGTAGAATTTACAAACACATTTAAACACATTTAATATATATTGCAAATGAATAATTATTATCGGTAAAGCACCTGATTGTAGCGCGTGCTTCATCTAGTTGATGTCTCGTAATTTCCCAAAATGTTCGCAATTTGTCTCTCTCTAGTTGAAAAAAATTTCTTTCCTCTCGCTCACGTTCCATCTCTTCCAGTATTTTATGAGCATATATCTCCAATTGTTCCCTATTCATTTTTGTTGTATCAACTCCATCGACAATGTCTGTTGCTTTGCCTTTCACTTTTTTAGGACCCTTATCAATTTTAAATAATTAACACAGTTAAAAGATGTCAATTTATAAAAGATGGAAGAAGGAACAGAAGAAATATAATTACATACATGAAATTATATAATAAAAAAACTTGTAATAAGAAAAAAGTATTGATAAAATATTAACAATATTCATGAAAATATTGATAATTATTATAAAACAAAGTTTTATATGAAGCATTGCCAATAATTAAACTCAGTAAACTTACCATCGTTTTATTATTGTCAGGCTTAAAAAGATTTATAGATTAGAACTAATCTCTTCAAAGATTATTGCAAAATGTAACGCACGAGTATAATAATGATAATAATATGATTAGAAAACTTATAGTATCATATCAGCTGACCATGTACAAATCGGCTAGCTTCACTAGCTTGACATTTAGAGTGGAGTTGTTTTGTAAGAACGTTGCTAAGTAACTGCGATGTATATTCTTATCTCTTATATATGCAACTTTCGTATAATTTTAAATGCAATTTTCAAATATGAAATATGTCTAAGATATATACAGGGTGTCCGCTAATAATTGTATCATCTCTCGTGGGCGAGTAAAGCGAATTATATTGAAATAGAAAAATATGAATAGAAAAGTCTTATATCATTTTACGATTTTTGCAATAATTAGAATTATTAATTTATACAGATTCGCGAACGAGCAAACATTCGCCTAAAGAAATAATCCAGCACGTTTACAGTTGTTAGGTGTGTGATAAAATGCTTGAATGTGATCTAGATAGAATATCCATTTATAAATTATATGATAAAATTTATAATTATTGCAAAAATCGTAAAATAGTACAGAACTTTTTCATTTAATG